GAAGGACCACTAGGTGTGGAACTGGGGGTCATCTTCGATGAAATGTATTTTTGTTTAATCAATTTTATTGTTGTAATTTAATCTTGTAAAGTTAAAATTATTTACATTTCTTATAATCTACTTTTATAATGTAATTATTATTAATTAGTATTTTATAATTAAAATTTTTAAAAATGATATTATAAAATTAAAAAATTATAATACATAATTTATAGTTAAAATTGTAATTATAGTTAAAATTTTATGGTATTTAATTATTAATTACATAATTTATCATTAACTATTTAAAATTAAAAAATTATTAACATTAAAAATTATTAAAAACTATGGTATTTAATTATTAAATATATAATTTATATAATGTATTAAAATTATATTTATCAAAATCTATAAATAAATAAAACTGAACAAAAAAAATAAAAAAAACACGCTTCATACGGACGAGCTTGCCTTGGCCCAATCTGATTTTCACAGGCTCGCCTACTGGTTGGACGAACTTCAACTCCAAAATTTTCACATGCACCCCCTCGTCCACTGAATGGACGAACTTCTATAAAAAAAAAGATACTTGGACAAATAATTTTCAAACTAGGATATTATGGGATTTATTTTTTTCAAATGAGAGTAGAACAGTGAAAAAACCAAGACTTCCACTCTAAATTTTCCATTTATTAAAAGTTTCATATAAGTACATGACTATTTTTTTTCACATAATAATATTTAAAATGCTGACAAGATCCATGTCTATAAAATACATTGAAAACCACTGAATTTATTCATAAAAGAAAAACTGATTGAACTCAACGAACATTTGAAGATTCTTAGACAGCACCTTCACTGCATCTTCTGTTTCACTGAAAACAAGGAAGTAAAAACTCTGCATATTAGAAAAACATTCAAAGTTGGTCGAATACAAGTATAATAATCATTGAGGAATATATATTATAGCGACTTACCGAGAGGTGGACGAGAAGGAGGATGGTGTGGATCATGCCTTGGATTTGACCCTGGTTTACCATAATCGTCTATTTCGAGCTCAACATTTTGGATATCTACTTAGAATCATCAACAACATTTAAAATATACAATAGAATACAGTAAGGCAAAGCTGAAGGATCATATGAGTTCATCAGGAATCAAAATACAAGAATCATGAAATAAGAACTTACTGTGAGGTGGACGAGGAGGAGAAGGATGGCGCGGATCATGTCCGGGATCAGGTCTCGGTTTACCATAATCATCTACTTCAAATGAAAAATCACCTTTGGGTATGTTCCTAGCAGAGCAATGTGCTGCATAGATGAGTAAAAGCCCTAGCAAGCTTAGTCTCATCATGAAAACCATGTTTTGTATACAATTATTATTTCTTGTGATAGTTTCTTATATATAATATATAAATATTATTTTGACTAAATCTGAAAATTATCATTAAATGTTATACATTTGATTACCTTTTATTTATTGTATTAACTATTATTTATAAATAAAAAAAATACAATGTATTTAAAAATTTTAGGTTTGAATACTTTGAATGTAGGAATGTCAACTTACCATTTGTATGAATAAGAAAATTTTCATCTTTAACGTGAATTATTTTCTTAACTATTAAGTTACAACATTCATTGGATCAGATTTTTTACTTTACATTCTCCTTAAATTTTTCATTTTAAAAAAGTTACAACATTCTTAGTATTAAAATAAAATTATTTTACTACTTTATTTTTGGTGTACTGGTTTAATGGCCAGCATTTTAAATGTGGTCTTGCAATTAGATATTCAGGGATGTTCAATATTTGGATGGGCCGTATTCATATTTAAATTCGAATATTAAAAATTAATTAATTATTAATATAGTTTTAACAAATTTTATATTTTAGACAAGCTATTTATTTAGTTGTAACAAAATTTATATTTTGATCATTCATATTAAATAAAAATAAAAATAGTTTATTTTTTTAAATAAAAAATTCACAAATTTTTTTAAATTATTTTCTGATATTTTTAGTAAAATTAACTTTCTTTAAAAAAAATTATCTGAAAAAAAAAATTCAAAGAACAAAAAATATTATTTCTTTTAAAAAAAACACATTAAAAATTTTGTTTATTTTTTTTAAATCAAAATTAATTATAAAATTGATTATAAATATAACTAATTAATCGTACAAAAAAACCTTAAAAATGATTGTAAAATGTTGTGTCTCTTTAATTATTAAAAATTATTTACTTTCTATGTATTACTTTTTTTGATTCTATTTTTTAAATTTATTAAATAATTAGTATATTTAATTTATATAATAAAAGAGATATATTTGTTATTTATTGAATCTAAACAATGATTTTTTTAATAAATAGGATCATAGATAATATTTTTTTTAAAATACGTTATAAAAGTAATTAGTAATATGTGTAGGCGGGATAATTAATAAATATCATTATATTAATAATATTTTGAGTAGGTGGGATATCTGATATCTCAATTTATGTGTGTGATAAATTATTAAGAATTAATAATTTTGAATGTGTTCTAAAATGACAAAAAAATATGCAAGTGAAGATTTATTTTGAAAATAAGCAATACTTGTGAAGTGTGACAGTAGGTTTGAATCAAAAATAGACAATATTTCGTGAAGTATTGAGATGAAATTATGTAACTCGTGAAGAATATTGTTGTAGATGAAACAATGTAGCTTTTGGTAAAAGTAACTTTTGGCAAAAGCTTATAACTCTTGGTAAAAAGGTGTTGTTTCACCAGCAGCCGCAACCTTGTGAGAGAACACCAATATGACCTATAAATATTTCATTTCGAATTCAAAAAAACATAACAAAAACATACATTCTCTTCACTAAAATTTTAGATATCATTTCCTACCATTGAGTTTTCATCGGTCTTGTGCAAACGCGAGTATAAGCTAAATTATCCTGTGTATTACTGCGTTCCAACTTTAAGATATTTGAGAGAACTTGAAATACTATTAAGGAAAATGATTTCATTCATGATTTTAGACTCGACCCATTTGATTTATATTGATTTTCTAACAATCTTATAAGCATTACAAATAATGAATACCGGGACTTCTGTATCAAGAATCAAGAACAAGAATCGTCATCATAGATCCGGGTACATTTTTATTGTTTATTATAAAAATTAGAGCACCGTGAAAATTACGATATTAAGATCTAAAACATAACGTTTTTGTAACAGTGGTATCACTTATCAGAGCAAAGTTACTGATATCATGATTTTTCAATAATGATAATATAATAAATCATTTTATTATGATAATTCATTTGTTATCTCAATGCATTGCTCGGTAATGTGTTTTATTATTGCATCAATAATTCAATTTATTGACAATGATATTTAAATTTCATAATTTCATTGTTTATATCTATAATATAAGAAAACTCAATGCTTTGGAAAACTCAAATTTACCCTTATCTTTAAATTTTTCACATCTCCAAATTAGGGGCAATTTAGGTCCAAAATTTACTTTTTTTCAACTAAACTAGCACTTGAAATTGGTTTTTTATTTGATTATGCAATTTTAAGCCTATTATTTTGGTCTAGTAACCGATCTTACTCTCAATTGGTTGAAAAGAAACAAAATTTATTCAACTTTTTGTACTACATTTCACTTTCAATAAATCACTTCAGAGTTTATTAAAATATTATTGTCTACACTTCTTTCCAAAAAATTTCCTCATTTCTCTCTCCCTCCTTATCTTCCCTCTCTGCACAGTGCAAAAACCCTTCTTCCATTCTCTCATCAACTCTCTCATTTCTTCCTCTTTCGCTTTCCTCTCTCTACGCACTTAATTCTTCTTTCTTTTCTCTTATGCTACCTCTATCTTCCTCTTCTTCTTTCTTCTCACTTTCGCTGCCTCTCTCATCTTCTTATTCTTTCTTCTCTTTTCCTGTTCTTCAACAAAGACTATAGGATTCTGAGAAAGTCTAAAGGAAGAAATGGTGAATATTCAGAAGATATTTGATGAATAAAATGCATATATTGATGATTCTTTGATGCGTTTAGGGTTTAGTTTATTCTTTTTAATTTTATGAGTTCAGTTTATACCTTTTGATGTTGGATTTCTAAATTTTTTGAATCTGTTTTTTTGGAGTTCTTCTTTTGAATCTCTAAATGAATTTGGAAGGATATGAAGGGAAAATGGTGAATATTTAGGAGATATTGGATGAACAAAATGCATCCCTTGATGCTTCTCTGGTGCATTTAGGGGTTAATTTATACTTTTTAATTTTATGGGTTCAGTTTATACCTTTTGATTTTATGGGTTTCGATGAAGAATCATACTTTTTGAATCTTGCTTTTTGATGTTTAGGGTTAACTTTATGGTTTTTGACTTTATGGGCTTTGATAAAGAATCGTTGAAGTTGTTCAAGATGTGAACTTTTTATAGATTGATTATGCACTGAAAAATCTCTTTTGAGGATGATGTTGTTAAGCGTGAGGAGTTATGGATCACTTACAAACTATGGTATGATTTATTAACTTATATTTGTGAAATTGTATTGTATATTTATGGATGATGAAAAAATGTTACTTTTAGGTTGTATTTATTAACATGAATCCTCTGTTTGCTGCAGTAGTCAAGTTTTTAAACATGACAGTGACACTTATGATATCGGTTGACAATGGGAATCTGGTGGTTCACGGGAAATAGAGGATCCGAACAAGGGTGTGCTAACACCAAAAATTAGAAAAGGCAATGTGACAGGTGCTTTTATTTTTGCTACGGCTTCTAACGCCAAAGACAACCTTGAATGTTTTTTTATTTGTTTGATATATTTTGTTGAAAATTTGGATAGGCTTCATCTTTTATATTGTCATACCTAGGTACTACTTTACACACTTTAAAGGTTTATCTCTTAATGCATTAATTGTAAATAAATTCACATCCGTCAGCTTATGATTTGCATCCAGAATTTTAAATTTGTGTTAAATTTTATGATTTGACAGAGAAGTGAAGAATCACTGGTGGTAATGGAGAAGGCTATTTTAACTGATAAGAAAAATCATGTTCCAATGTATCAAAAGGCCAATATCCTAATGAGCTTGGAAAATTTTGATGAGGCTCTGGAAGTCTTAGAGGATATTAAAGAGTATGCTCCCTGCGAAAGTTGTGTACATGCTTTAATGGGAATGATCTATAAAAGGAGTAACATGCATGAGACAACAATGTTTCATTATGGTATTGCTTTGGATTTGAAACCTTCTGCAACAGATGTTGCTGCTATTAAGGTGATATGATATGGTCAAGTTATTAACTAATGTATTTTATACTGATGGATATTCTTGATTGTATTTGCAACTTAAATATCTTTTTCATTTGTAACAGGCTGCCGTTGAGAAATTACATGTATCAAATGAGATGGGTGACAACTTTTAGCTTTACAAGTGAAATGAAGAACTGATAACTTGGTGTGGTTAAACTGCATACAAATCCTTTACTCTAAGGGCTTGGCGGTGCTTGTGCTTTCGGCATTGTGTATAAAATTCGTAAAGTTTGTGCTCATCGGATTGGATGGTTTGAGTTTTGTCGGAGAATCATTCATACTTGCAAGGGAAAATATATGTATCATTAGTTCATTTGTTCATTGATTCATTTTATGGTGGGAATCCCATTAATAATAGGGATGGAGATGGCAGTGACAGGTGATTAATAGAAAATCTCATTGACTTCCACCATATTAGTTGAGAACATTAAGATGATTCCAACTATAACATGTTAGAAAAATTTCATGTTTTGAATTTTGATATCATGATTTTCATACTATTTCAATTTCTATGAAAACACTAAAAACGTACCCGGATCCATGACGGCGATTCTTGTCCTATTCTCGATCTTGTTTTTAATTGTTCTCTCCTCTCTTCCTTATTTTTTTTGTGTATCCTCTAATGATGAAGATACTTTTTGTATATTTGTGAGAAAATGAGAAGGAATGAGAAAAGTTGTTTTTCCAAAGGTATCTATTTATAGACTTCTTTCTCCAATAGTCACATTTCATTATGTTCTGGTCTAGGCCCAGGCCTGCCCATCCGTCGAGCAAGCCCAACCCAACACTGGTTGGGAAGGCCCAAATAGGCCCAAGTCATTCAGCGTCGGGTAGACACTCCCCCCGTCGGGCAGAACAATGTGTCTCCTCCATGTTCTCCACGTGTTCCCCTCTGTGGGGGCACGTCGTCAGCCAACTACCTACCTCCGAAAGAGCTGATCAGCCCACCTTCCAAAGATCACGGGACAGTTGAACTATGACAAAAACCACGTGCTGGTCTTCACTATACCACGTAAGCCCTAGCAGTTACCTGGGTTGGGCCTGACAATCCAGCCTAATACAAGTAATTGTTGGTCCTGCGCTAGGGTCTCAATATAAATACCCTATTTCACTAGAGGGTCAGGTATTCAATTCTCAACCACTCTTCTATATTTTATCTCACTCTGGTCCATTACTTACTTTGGCATCAGAGTATCTTACAGGTACACCCCCTCATCTTCCATATTTCCGGTGAACAGCTAGCAGATCAACGACGCGTGGTAGGTCATTGATTCTCTTCTAGTCAGGTCAGATCAGTGGCGCCATCTGTGGGAAACTAAGCTTCCCTGTTCCTCCGAGAAGAGAACCAAAGCTTCCTCCTTTCAAATTTCAAGACCATGACTAGCCCACGCTATGATGGAGCTGTCCACAACTCTGTCGTCGCCCCGATCACCAACGGCGACAACCACCCGGGGACGTCTCAACCCCACGAGACCGACGTCAGGGACGTCCAAACTGCCTCCCCTTTGTCAGAGGAAATCGCCCACCATGTCGTTCCTCAAGCGAGGAGCCCGACGGTTTTCCAACCCGTTCTCACACCGGCTGGAGCGGACTCGACGATGGTTGCCTTCTTCGCAGCCATCAACCAGACGAACTAGATGTTGTTCTAACAAAATGAGCGCATCAGAACGCTGGAACACGACACCTCGTCCCGCTCCCCTCCGCGGGGAAATCAGCGCGGGAACTCTCAGAGCCCCTCTCCCCAACCACGGGGGCGCCGACCACAGTTGGAGAGGCCCCAACCAATGGCCTCCAAGAAGCGAGCAAGGTTACCACCCCAGAAGGAGAGGAATTCCCTGGAGCCAAGGGCGACCAGGCCTGAAGCCCCCTCCAGAAGACCAAGGGGGTGTAACCCGCCTCCTCGACATGAACCGTCCCCTCCTCAGTCCCTGATCCGCAGTGACGAGGACGACTATAGGACCCCCCCTGTCACGGGAAATCATGGCAACCCCCATCCCCCACGGGATGGAGAAACCACCCGTACTCTAGACGTACGACGGCACCTCGGATCCAGACGACCATCTGGAAGACATCGAGGTTATGCTCGACTACAGAAACGTCCGGGGAGCCATCAAGTTTCCCGACAACGCTGAGGAAAGGCGCCATGGCATGGTACAAAAGCCTGGAGCCTGAGTCCGTCACATCGTGGAGGATCCTGAAGGACCTATTTTTGTGGCACTTCACAGCATCGAGGCGACATTCGAAGATGGAGGCCGCACTGGGCGCCATCGTCCAGACCCCAGATGAGCCTCTCAGAAATTACATTGAGAGGTTCATGAGGGAGGCGGTCCAGGTAACGACTTCAGACGATATGAAGCGCTACCTGGTGGAGCAAGGCCTACACCGAGACTCCAAGTTCTACGAGGTTGTGACCATCCACCCGCCAGACACCCTCCAGGACTTCCTCGAGAGATCTCTCCATTACATCCGGTTCGAGGAGACGGAGGCCGCCAACACTTCCCGTGAAACCTGAAACCGAGAAACCCCCCATGGGTCTCGAGATGAAGCATCAGCCCCCCGGTGCGGGGGAGACCGGCGACGAGAGGATCGTCCCCGAGAACCTCGGGAGTAGCGGGGGCCCGTTGGTCGTTTAACCGAGTATACGATGCTAGTTGCTTCCCGCGAGCGCATACTGGCTAAGTGCGCCAATTCAGAATTTGTCTAGGGAGGTGTCCAATTTCCAAAATCGGCACCCACCAAAGCCAACATGGACAAATCTAAATACTGCCGCTTCCACCGAAGCCACGGGCATGTGACGGAGGATTGCATCCATCTGAAGGATGCAATCAAAATTCTAATCAAAGATGGGCATCTGAAGAGGTACACCCGGGGAGGAGATCCCCTGCAACCGGAAGCCCCCGAGGACAAAAGAGTCGAAGACCTCCCCCCTCCCGACAATGATTCCGGCTTATAGGTGGCCCTCAGTGTTGGCCGACCTGAGGACTGTTTCACACTAAGTGAAGTCAGTCTCCCTGCCGAGCTTCAGCTGCCCGAGGAGCTAATACGCTCCGTCAGCCGGTGGGAATACTTCCCCAGAGCAATGGTAATTTCGGGCAGGACTCCAAGAAAGCTCACGATCGGGTCGGTTAAAAGAAAGTTCAACGAACTAATAAACAACAACTCAGGAAAGATGAGCACGCTCGATAAGTTCCAAGGACGATCCAACTCGATCACCTTCTACCTCGAAGAGCTCCCCGGGGGAGCCCCCAACTCGGCCGTACCCCTACTGATACGGCATAAATGGCCAACTTTGATGTCCATCGCATCTTGGTCGACGGAGGGAGCTCAGTGGATATCATGTATACCCACCTCTTTTCGACGCTCTAGCTCGACGAGACCAACCTGACGCCCTACCTGGGGTCCGACCTCCAGGGTTTCAACGGGACGACGACCAGGCCGTGGGGATACATGAAGCTCAAGGTCATCTTTGGGGCAAAGGAAACGGCCAGGGAAATCAACTTCCGTTTCCTGGTCGTTGAATGCCCATCGCTGTACAAATGCATCCTGGGCAGGACGACGCTGGACGAACTAACCGCTGTGCCATCGACCGTCCACCTGAAGATGAAGTATTACACCAGACTGGGAGCTGTCGTCACGCTCAGCAGGGATATAGAAGCAGCCCTCCGGTGCTTCGAAGCAGCAATGAAGGGCCTTAGTACGATCGGTCCCGCGACCAAAGCGAATAAGCCCCCCTCCCCCTTCTCCCGCACCGAAGAGCGAACCAAAGGATCACGTCGACACCGTAGACCTCGACTTCCGTTTCGCCGAAGAGCTGACTCACGAAGATGAAGACGAAGTCATGAGACGTTTCTCCAACCACCAACAGGAAGCCTATCCATCCAATACGCCCTATTTCAGACAGGGACTTTGAGATTGTAACCCTTGGTGCTGACGCAACGAGGATCGTGAAGATTGGAGCGGGGCTACCCGATCTAGCGAGGAAGCAGTTGAAGGCCTGCCCCCAGAAGAACGCCGACCTCTTCTCCTGGAGCGCCGTAGAGATGCTCGAACTCGACCCTGAGGTTGCCTGCCACTAGCTCTCCATCAACCCGGCCGCTAAGGCCGTAGTACAACGTAGGCGTAGGCAGTCCCCCGAAAATTCGGCGACGACTGAAAAAGCTGTAAAAGATCTCCTAGAGGCAAATTTTATTTCGGAAGCCCGGTATTCAACCTTGCTGTCCAACATTGTATTAGTCAAGAGATCTAATGGAAAATGGAGGATGTGCGTTGACTACACAAATCTCAACCGGGCATGTCCTAAGGACGCCTATCCCCTCCCCAACATTGACAAGCTCGTCGACAACTCGGCAGGTTTCAAACTACTGTCTTTCATGGATGAATACTCGGGGTACAACCAGATCCCCATGACCGAGACCGACAAACAGAGCACGGTGTTTATGATCGAGTCGGGCAACTACTACTACAACGTAATGCCCTTCGACCTAAAAAACGCTGGCGCCACCTACCAACGGATGATGAACAAAGTCTTCCGAGGAGAGATTGGCGACATGCTCGAGGTCTACATGGATGACATAATTGTCAAGTCCTGCACAGAGTTCGATCACATGGCGCACCTCAAGAAAGTCTTCGAGACGGAGAGGAGGTGCAGGATGCGGTTCAATCCGGAGAAGTGCACCTTCGGAGTACGCGCGGGGAAGTTCCTCAAATTCTACCCGACCGAACGGGGGATTGAGGCAAACCCAGACAAGTGTCGGGCATTCTCCGAGCTTGCAACGCCGAGCACGAAGAAATCAATACAGTCCCTCAACGGGATGTTCACGTCGTTATCCCGTTTCGCCGCCAAGTCCGCACATCACGCCCTCCCTTTCTTCAAGCTACTGTGAAAGGAAACCGCGTTCGAATGGATAGAGGAATGCGAACAAAGCCTCCTCCATATCAAACATGTCATATCAGAACCGCCCGTCCTGACAAGGCCAGATGTCGGGGAAGTCCTCTACTTGTACTTGGCCGTATCGAACGAGGCCGTAAGCGCCGCGCTGATTCGGGAAACCCCTGACGGGAAGAAACCAATCTACTTCACAAGCAAGGCCCTCCACGACCCAGAAGTCAGATA